TCTTTCCCTCCCACTTCTCTCATTGGAAAAAACAGAGGGGAAGTTTGGAGAATGAAAAATAGGGAAAGGCTTATTTTTTCCATTTAAAAAAAAAAAAGAATAATTTAAAAAAAATTGGCTTTTTCTACCCACGACTTCAAAGGGTTTTTTCATCAAAAAAGTCAACCAGCTCTGTCAGAGAGAGCACTTTTCTACAGTAACTGTCGTATAGCTTAGTAACACACCTGATAAAATTTGCATAGGTAATTCAACTGTCAAATCCTAATCAGGCTAAAAATTGAATTCTCATGGATCAGAAGTGAGATACATGTATTATTAAAGGATATTGTGTGAACCTTTATCTATTTGGTTTGGTTACTGTTTAATTACTAGCATGCTCCATAGGTGCAAAGAGGTAGCTCAGTCCTTTGTGTATGGTGCACATCTGAAGGAACCAAAAATCAATGGCTTTATACATTCCGAATCCCATCTTCTCAAGTGAAAGGATATCAAGGCCTTTTCTTGGTTTGTTTCTGTCCAGAAAGTGGGGAGGAGGTGTAGGGGGAGGGGGGCATAACCCAATTTAGGACTGAGCCAAGGCCCTTCAGGTGAGAAATCTTTATACAAATTCCTCAGAAACTGTGAAAATCCTCAACCTTGAGGCAGATGCAAGGTTTGCAGGGAATCAGGCTGTAATGTATTCCCCCAGAAGACAGGGGAGATAATACCAGGGATGAAACCGCCTACCTAAGTATAATGAGTAGTCCTGTGACACCTTTAGAGACTAACAAAAATATATCATATCATGAGCTTTCATGGGCAAAACCCTCTTCTTCAGATGATGAGCTGGAGCAGACATAACAGAAATCTGGTTTCTGTTATTTTTACTCCAGCTCATCATCTGAGGTTGTAGGTTTTTCCCAGGAAAACTCATGATACAATATACTTTTGTTAGTCACGCAGGTGCCACGGGACTAATAGTTGTTTTTAATATACACTGTTACCCCGCTGAGACTTTCCTACCTAAGCATGTGATCCCCATCCTGACATGGGGCATGTCTACAATCTTACTTTGACCTACGTTAGGTCGATTTCCAGCCAGCACAGTACGTACTTAAATCAGTGAGTACGCTGTACCCCACTGACTGAGGGGCAGTGTGGGGGCACTGAGAGCCGGGGTCTCAGCTCTGCACAGCTCCGCACCAGGAGCCTAGCTGCTCCCTCGGACATCTCACCCCCAGTGCTGAAAACCACTCCCACAGTCCAGTCAGCTACCACGCTCCGAGCAGGAAGTGGGGATTCAGGGCTCTGGGGAGCAGCAGAGCTTCCAATGGGAAATAGGGAGCCCAGCCAACAGTGGGTGTAAGGAACTCAGTATCTACACAGACACAGTGTCACCCCAACTACACCGACAGAAGTCCTATGCTTCTCATGGAGGTAGAGTTATTATGCTGGTGTAAAGGAGTACTTTCATAGACAGAAGCAAGTCCATCCACAGTGACATAGTTGGGTCAAAATAAGCTGCTTATATGTCAACCTAACCCTGAAGTGTAGACCAAGCCTTTGGTAAGACGATATGCATTTAGTTCTCTTTGTTATGTTAATCACTTTCTTTTTGTTTGCTATAATCAGCTCAATGGAGAGAGAACACTTGTTTTTGTTTGGTAGTATTTACCTACTGGGCACAGCTCTTGAATAGACATCTGTAGCAGGGATCAATTCTAGTTGGACCTGCTGTGGAAACAAGGTTGGTAAATAAGAGCTGTAGCCGAAAGACCCTCTCTAAAAATGGGTGTGACTTGCAAGATTCCATTCTGAGAGAAGTCCATGTACTAGGCCTGTCCCCTAAAAGGGGTGTCCAAGAGTGAGGGTCAAAGGTAGAGCTAATCCTGAAGCTGTCGCAGCAGGTCTTGGAGATTTCCACATCAAACAATCCAATTTTCATCCTGTTCCTTCTGATTATGGTAAATAGTCTGAGTCAAGATAGTTTCATCAAAACAATAATAAAAAATTACCTGTACTGTAATATAGATTTTCCATGCATAGCATTATTATCTAAGGTAATGTATTATAAATTTTAGCAGCATATGGAGGGGGGGAAACTATTTGTGATTTTTCAGCCTCAGCAATTTACAAGAGATATTTCATTTTAATAGGGTATCTTTCATTTCAATAGAGATCTTTCATTTCATTTCTATTCTGAAAGAAAGGTAGGTGTGTGTGTGTGTGTGTGTGTGTGTGTGTGTGTGTGTATAGTCATTAAATTATTAAATCAAATGGGTTTTATTTCTGCTGTTTGAAAAAGTATGGAACACAATTGCGTGTGCTTTGTGATGACTGCTGTTCCTTGCCATTTGCACTCTGAAGTTTTGAAGACATGCTGCTTTTTGCCAATGTGCCCCACTCCCACCTCTGTAACTCCAGGTCTCAAAATAGTCACATAGCCAATAGACCCATAAAACTTTTTATGAACACACATTCATATTGATAGGTACACATCCTCTTCTTCTCTCCCTCTCCGCCCCGCCCCCCATCTCAATCTAATGCAATGTCATATTGGAAAAAAGGGTAAATGGGCTCACTGTTGTTTGCCTTGATTTAGATAAATTGTGTCTGGTATCCACAGAATAGCATAGTACTTAGTCCATTGACTTGTATGACCTTGACCAAGTCACTTATCCTCTTTGTGCCTCAAAATACACCCCTGTAAAATGGACATTAGAAGGAGAGATTTTCAAAGGCACAAAAGAGTTAAATAATTCATATTTTCCCCCATATTGATCAACTTCAGAGAGGTGTTGTGGACATTAAAGTAACTTATTTGGCAACTTCAGGAATAGGCATTTTTAGTTCTAATGACCAAAGATGATATTCAACAAACCAGAAACAAAAGCCCATTTCTACATCTGTTTCATATAGTAAGTTTCACCCCCAAATACCAGGTAAGAGACATGTAAGATCCTGTACAGTTTACAGTATGTTAAATTAATGTTAGTTAGTTTTATTTTGTTTTGTTATAGTGAATATAAAGCTCAAATTCTTCAGTGTTAACCATTGTCACTTTGAAACTGTGACAGATCTCTCTGGAGTATTAACAAGACTGATTTGATGAAGAAGCATGGCGTACTTTTGGAAAATACCTTTGACAGAAGATGAATTATCTGAAGGAAAATCTGAGGACCAAGCATCTTACTCTGTGTGTCATTCTCGTCTTGAGAGCCAAGTCAGTCTAGGACTTGACCGAATAGTTGGTGAAGGCAGCAGTGAAATACCCTTCTATGTTCCAACCCATTCACATGACCCTGAAGAAAATGAATTTTTCCCATCAGATGTATTTGACTTGGATGCAGCAGAACATTTATGTGGAGTAAATCCATCTCAAATTCTTCATGGGGACCTCTACACCTCTCACTGGCAGCAAGTCAGAGTGCCACCAACAATTGGCTTTAGACCTTCTTTGCTATCAGGATTTAACGACTCCACCATTGAGAATTGCTACCCTACATACCCCATCGAAACCCTTTATGACTATGGTCCATATGGAAGAAATAGCGTGAGTCCAACTACAGATGAATTTGGATCAGATGTCGAGAGAGAGAATAAAAATCTGAATTTCTATATAGGCTTTGAACATATAGACCATCAATCTCCCATTTTCACAGATGACAATGCATGTGGACAAGGAATTAAAGATAAAAGGAGAAATCCCAGTAAATCTTTCCTGGTGCGATCTGGGGAAACACACGTAACAAACCCTTCTAGAAAATTGACCACAGGACCTGTCTGGCCCAGCATCTCTGTGAACAGCTCTGCAGATAGCACAGAGGTATGTGCTTAATTTGTATGGTTGAAAGATTTGGTTTTGACTGTTTGCCATGTAACAGTATAGTCGATTAATTGATACGCAAAAGCTTATAGGTTAATGCTATAGACTACATGCATTTCTTCTGCCCCTCTCCAGAAAATTTGTTAGCTGGCTGGCCAGCAGCCCGGCTCAGTCCTGGCTTGTATCAGGTCTGGGACCCACCCCCGCTGCAACTCTGCATTTAACATGTATTAGGAGCCAGGCAAACAGGCAGCCTGGCTCAGTTCCAGCTTGCACCAGGTCCAGGAGCTCAGACCCACCCCAGACAGGGGGTGCTGCCACCCCAGGCTGCTGCCTCTGTATCAGGCAGTAGCACAGAGTGGCAGGGGGCTCCTCAGGAGTGGGGCCAGAGGGCAATTGCTGCTGACCCCGTGCCTCGGGACTATAGAATAGTCGAGTAACTGATCAGAATTCATGAGGTTAAACTTCTATTCAATTAACCGATATTTAACGTCTCTAGTCCAAAATGCTGCAATGGTACATATTCTAATCTGTAGTGCACTTTGGGGGACTAATAACATTTGGCTCAATAGACTGTTTCTGCTGCAGGGCAAAACGTAGAGCAGAATACTGCAGAGTGGGCTCCCCCCCCCAAGCCTTTTTACAGAGGTAACAAAACATCTATAATATCAGGACAGTACGTTGAATCTGTTTTGCTGTGGAGCTAAATGTATTATCTTTGCCCCTGTTTAAACTACTTGTCCTAGTCCTGAGATTTGGCACAATGATCTATTTTGACCCTGTTCTACTTGCATTTATATACGTATATTTTTGAAATAAATCTTTTTACTGTAACAAGTTTTCAGAAGTCATATCCCTTGATGATACACTCTGGCTCTTGCTGTCTTTTTGAACCAAGTCTTTCTCTTTCTCCTGCCTTCCTTCAAGTGGTCAGTGCTCCAACTCGCAATATTTAGGAGGTGGAGGTTAATTTCCTTAGTTTCCATTTTCCTCCTCACCCTTCTTTCTCCACCCCACCCCCATTTTCCTTCCTCATTATGGTGCCTCCCCATTCACCTGTTGGTCAACACTCTGAAATATTGCAGGAATTCGGAAGTATTCAGAGATATGTGGGGATAACTAGGGCATGATGCTGCAAAGTACTGAGGGTCCTTTGACCTTACTCAAAGCAGAAGGTGCTGAACACCTTGCAGGATCAGACCGCTGGGAGTAAAATTGATTTTTATTATAAACCTCAGTCAAGATTCCAGTTCAGACCATTTTACCAAACTAAGAATCACACCAAGTTTGTGGTTCATGCCTGTTTGTGGTGGTTACAAGCTGGAAAAATATATTCCTCCTCAGATAGTAAAACTGTGGTGAGTATACAGGGATTTGATGATGGTTTTAAAAAGGGTGAGATAACAACAATTTCTAATTTATTTGGTACCTTTCATCTTGGAGGTCCATGAAGCACATGGGAAAACTGTAGCTATGTCTGAGAACAACGATTACTAGGAAAGTCTGTGTTTGCCCTTGGATTCTCAGAGTGGAACATGCTCATTCAATCTGTGAGAACAGTGCATATGCCTTCTGGTCACATGTAAGTAGCATAAGGAGATAGCGCATACTCATTGGGGATAGAGTCTTCAGAGATATTAGCTGTTGAACTCTACTCTCAGCATGTGCTTATAGAGATTTTTTTCAAAGGTTTATAGCTTGACCAAATCTGGGCAGATTTCCATGGGGAAATCCAAAGGCACATCCTTGGACAAAGACCACCTCACTGATACATTTCAAGTGCCTGACTGCAAGCATGCAGTCACAAAAGCTTGTCAAAGAAACAGTCTTCAGAGTGTTTTAACAATGACAAACTGTATTTTTCTCTAACTTATTCAGAGAAACAATTACACCACTGAAACTCTGAGGGGAAAACATCAGAATGAGATTTTTTTCAGCCTCAATTTTTGAAGTCTGGGAAAGTTCTAAGCAACTGAAAACAGGTTCTTGTAATACGAAGTGGTTAGCAAGGTGCTACAATCTGCATAATCTATAATATGAATCAATGTTTTATTATATTACAATATGCAAGTGCCTACCTAATATTATGCAAAAATATTGAGAGACCTTTATCTATAGCAGAGGTGGGCAATAAAAAAATGGTCACTGCTGCTATATTTCCCTGCGCCTTTGCAGGTATTGGGTGATCGCAGCTTTCATGGCCAATGGGGGCAGCGGGCAGCAGTGTGGACTGGACCATCACTTCACACCACTCCCACTGACTGTGGACTGTGATCTCAGGCCAACAAGATTGCCCAATACCTGTGGACATGCAAGTAAATACAGAGATGGGGGGCCCAGCAGAAACTAGCCTTATGGACTGGATCCAGCCTGCTGGTTGGAATTTGCCCATCCCTGGTCTACAGTGTGTAGTGTAGCTGTCAGACAACATGCACCAAACTACAGTAGAAAGCATTTTGGCCAAGAAAAATACTTCAAATACTATACTCTGGTATTCTGAAGATGTACCATGGGATCTTTAATGCTCACACAGAATAGATTGAATTTCTGTTATTGCCTGACTTGAAAGATGTGTGGGTTTTTGAGGAATATCAGGTTTCCGTTATGGGTGGAAGTATACTGGAGGAGGAGGAAGGATCAAGTTTACATAAGTGTGTTTGTCCTGTATCACTTCTTTAAACTTACTCATTTTGATATTGAAATTGGCTGGAGTCAGATCAGGGCTGCTCACATAGCTGCCATGACCCCCGTTCCAACAAAGCCTGCAGTAACTCATGGCTCAGGGATGCTTCAACAACTCAGCTATACTGTCTCATCCCTAAGCAGAGCCTGGGGGTGAGTCAGCATTCAGGTTTGCTGCAGCGGCCAGGTCAGGACCTAGGTCACATGACCCTCCCCAAACTACTCCCCTGGACCCAGGTCACTAACCCTTCCAGAGGTTCTAGTTACTCTGCACAACAGCAATATTCATCCAGCCAGGAATCTTTATGCTTCTGAGCAGGATTAGACTTCCTAGATTCCTAGCCTTCCCTTGAGCCAGTTGCTGTTCCTGGCCTAGCCTTATCAACCTTGTCCATGCCCTATTCCAGCCATACTGCTGATGTGCTCCAGCCCTGTACCTGCCTCCTAACCCCCCCAGATTCTGATTTCTACCTGGCTTCAGCCTTTGGCCTGATTTGGCTTGTCTGTTGAGTCTGATCTCAGTTCTATAGAGCCTGTCCCTAGCCCTTAGTTTCAACTCTGCCCTCAGCCTGGTTTTGATTCTATAGCCAGCTTTGACCTTTGTTCCTATCCTGTTCTAAACCACAGTTCTGACCACCTTGAACCCAGGTGCTGACAGGCTCTAGTTCCAGATCTTGGGGAAACATTTAAAACATTGGTATTCCATGCTGACAATGAAAATTCATAATATTTTTACCAATAGGGAGATAAGGGGAGTTATGTGACATAGTGCATTGTTGAGTTACCAATAAATCTTTTGAGACTTCAGTGGAATCAAATGGGTCATTTATCCTTACTGGCATCCCATCTAAGTAAGTGAAATTGTGCTGAGGTGTGAGGATTTAGCCCTCCTCGAACCTACTGCAAGATCAGGTTGCTGAACTCCTTTGATGATTCTGCTTTCCTTATGTAAATACAGTGAGCTTTATTTCTTCTGGTTTACTCTTGGTATTTTTAGATTTCAGGTTGGCCTATCCAGTTGGCTGAAGCAGATCAAGGGAGTAATGAAAGTATTGCCTCCTTTTGCAATGGAGTGAAGAAGTAAGTAATGGGAAAAAAAACTTTATTCAATCAACTGTGATATTTATCTTGTTAATATTAATTGGATGATTATTTCTACATTTCTGTATAATACCATAATATTCATGCCTTTTAAATAAGGAAAAACTCTTAATTTCAGTTTAGAGATGAAGAAGATCAATCATGTGTAGTGGAAAAAATCATTTCTCTCCTTGTCACTCTCTTTGTTACTAACAAGTAAGCTGACCTCTTCAAAGTTGAAGTTTTTCAATGTATTGACCATTAAAGATGTTTCATGCCGCCACTTTGACAAGTTCTCATGCCTCTGAGCTTTAGAGCAGGAAAATAAAAGTTGGCTGGGATGTAGGCCAGATATTGGAGAAGTTTTTTTTGCTGACCTTAAGAAAACATTGATTTGGCCAAGTTATAAAGTTTTGGATAATTACCATCTGCACTTGTCCCTTAATTTTCTAAACAGTTCACATGGACATAACACACTAATACCAACCCTGGTACCTTCCCCTGCAACAAACCCCGTTGCCAGCTTTGTCCACATATTTATTCTGCTGATACCATTATTGGACCTAACCAAGTGAGTTATAAGATCAAGAACACATATTCCTGCGCATCCAGAAATATAATCTATGCTATCATGTGCCGAAAGTGTCCGTCTGCTATGTACATTGGACAAACATCTCAGACACTTCGCCAAAGGATTAATGCCCACAAAACAGATATCAGACAAGATCACAAAGAAAAAACAGTTTCTTGCCATTTTAACCAGAAAGGACACTCTCTCAATGACTTGACCACCTGCATTCTGCTACAAAGACCTTTTACATCTGCACTTGAAAGGGAATCCTCTGAACTGTCATTCATGTTAAAATTCGACACTTGCCAACAAGGACTTAACAAACATTTGAACTATCTCACCCATTACCAAGACAGTTTCCCCAATTATCACCTCTAATACCATTAACTCACAAACATCCCACTCTCCCTACCTTTAATATCAGCAATTCACAGACACTTACCTTCCTTCCTCCCCCTTCCCACCCCCCCGCATCCCCCTTCTGTTCTGCAATGTGATTTGTCCTTTTCATATTTGTTCATTTTTTTAAATTGTATCCTTTGGTATATATGGTTGTGACTACTTTCTTCCACTATTTGATCTGAGGAAGTGGGTCTGGCCCACGAAAGCTCATCATCTAATAAACCATCTTGTTAGTCTTTAAAGTGCTACATTGTCCTGCATTTTGCTTCAACTACCCCAGACTAACACGGCTACATTTCTATCACTGTACTGCATATGTTGTCATGCCTGCAGTGAGCTGCCTGCTTACTCACCATCTTTTCTTCAGCAAAATACCCTCTGACCAAAGTGAAGGTGCACTGAGCTAGAAACATGAATGTCATGTGTTCAGATGTCGTCATTTCCATTGATTAGCCCTGATTATTGAGTGCAAGCCATTCATCAATTTAAGAACACTAATCTCTCAAAGATGGTGGTAGGTATCAGGATTCTCAAGTTTAATATTCTTCTTCTGTTTTGAAAACAATTGTGCAACCCACTGGCAAACTCTGTTAAGGTTCCACTCCATCGTACGTTCCACTTAGAGGATAATGGGCTAGTATTGATTCAGGTACTACCTTAGTGTTAGTGGTAGAGATCTCTAGATGCTAGGTTCCAACCCTGCTGAGCAATAGAAGTAGGATAATTAGGGCAGGCCTACACAGCAAGGCTTCAGTAGAATTAAGGTATGCAACTTCAGCTACATCAGTTGTGTAGCTGAAGTCGAAATAGCTTAATTTGGCTTTTGGTGCTGTCTACACAGCAGGAAGTTGAAGGAAGAACACTCTTCCTTCAGCTTCCCTTGTGAAATGACGGTTACAGGGGTTAAAGAAGTCCACCTGCTCTGTTATTTCGAAATAATGTCTTGCTGTGTAGATGCGCTCATTAGTTATTCTGAAATAACGCTGCTGTGTAGACATAACCTTACAGTTTCATATGCTAAAATTTAGTTTCTTCTTTTTTTCAGTTGTCTTAAAAAAAAACAACTAGAAATGTCATTTAAAAATCCCAAGAACATTAAGAAATACAAGATTGAAGGTTGCCTCTGCAACTTCAGTTGAGTCCTGGGATTTGTATTTATTATGATGAAGTCCTTAGTAATATAGTCCATACTGTTTTCCCCAAAGACCCATTTTAGGTATATAAAATATATAAAAATCTGTTTAAATTTAGATATTAATGAATCTGTTGTTTTCAAGGCCAGTCAAGACTATCTGCATAAATATAGCTCGCTAATTTGTGCTAATGGTTCTTTAATAGGCTAAATATATATTTTAGCTCCATGAAGTCCATCCCCGAGCCATGCTGCTTCAGTGATTTCTGTTTCCTTTTTTCCATCGTTCATCAGGCTGACTGCAAAAAATAGCAACAGATTCATGAAGGCCTATTCCACAAGACATACTTTCCTGTCAGATACTCAGATTGTTCTGTCCAAACATTGTACATTTAACTTTCCACTCCATTTACGGGAAAAGCCTCCTATTGATTTTCTGGTTTAATGAGTTTATTTACAGCATTAGAAAGATTAATAGAAATCAAGCTGTCTCTGTTTTGGCCCTAGCTTGTTTTGTGGGTGTCAACGATAAACCCATACTTTTTGTGTTATCAAAGGAGAGAGAATCCTCAGGAGATAACATCACACCAAGGAAAAGACCAAGAAAAACCTCAAATACATATTCACACAACTGACCCATTCAGTTGTACTGAGCTTCTTCCAAGTCTCCAAAGACTCTCAGTGCCTTCTAAATCAGAGGCAAGATATGTGATTCAGACTCTACATCATGCAAACTTACAGCTCTGTAAATCAAATAGAAACCATCATGTTTTTCTCTTAGTAATATTTGTAGAGGTGGCAACCCACAACTGAAACATTTCACGGTATGCACACCAACTTTAAAACACTTTCCACAATCCCTTTATGAGGTTTCCTTGTACAATTATGGGCAAATCTTTAGTAAATGTTCTTCTACTGAATTCTTTTTCAAACAAATTTGACTCTGAAAAGAGATGCTAAATTCACAATCTCAATGTTCAATGCTATAAGATGCTGAATCGACTCCTACTGACGTCGTCAAGAGCTGAGCATGCACTGTACCTCAAAGGAATGCTCAACATCTTGCAGGATCAAGCCCCTGGAAATGGTGTTCCTTTGTTTATATACAGTATTGGCATCACATAGGCAGCAAGCAGTACAGATTTGCCCCATGCTACCAAGCTCCCCTACCTCAGCCCTGAATTGGGGGTGAGAGGATAATTACATCTTAAACATTTAACCCTTGTGCTCTATGTGGCAATAGCTTACAGCAACAAAGCTTGTGAGAGTGGAAACTGTGATGTCTACATTATCCACAAAAAAGTTAGGCAGGCAAGTACTTCCATATAGTCACCAAAAAGCCTTTATAATGACTTCTGTTTCTAGTATAAATCTAGGACATGTATGATAGGTAGTGTCCATAGTTTCTCTTTTTGTGATACCACTGAGCTACCATATCCACTGGTTTCCCATTAACTTATAAATATTTCCGAAAGTTTGTTTGTGTGTTTGTCCTGAAAGCTCTCTGAAATGGTAAGAGCTAGAATCACCAAATTTTACATGGATACTACTGATTTCCTAACTTAAATAACTGGATTGGTTATATCTTGAATTGGTTCCTCCAGAGCCCCAATTGGGCCACTAATAAGCTTTTAGTAGCGCCTGATCATAGGCATTTGCTGGACTCTTCTGTTAAGCATGTCACATACACTGCAACTACGAGATCCTTTCCCTATGATAACAGAAAAAGTACTAGCTATGTTAATTTCTTACAGTAATATATGAGAAAAAAGTATTTCCAATAAAATATGCTATGTTAATGTCACTGATGTAGTTCATTCATCACACCTTTTACTATATTTTCCCCCGGTAACACCAGGTATTTCTGCTAGTAAGTAATATACTACTTCATTGGATAATTAGTTTTGGAAATCTAGATTTCTGCCTCCCACTCCCCAAGCAATAGGAAAGCGTGTGCAATAAAAGCAAAGATCATACTAGTGTTTAAATTAGTTAGAAACCAGCTTTGAGATGTAATATTAAAAATAACCTTATCATGAAGAGATTTACACAGAGAACTATGCCACAAAATGTGCCATAATCAGATGCCATATATAATGCTGCCAAACTCAAGTTCCAGTATTTTGCTTGAACACAAAAAATGTGGAGTGCTTATTGTAGAATATTTGATATTAGCTACTGAAAATGCAGGCCAATTAGTGAAATATAAAATCTCAAGAGATAGGCTCTGTACTCTTGCCTGATGCAATCCAGTGTATTTGCAGGTTCAGTCCTAGTTAAGAACCATGGTGTCTCTAGGTTTGTAGCTGTTGTTTATTACAAAAAGGCATGTCAAAGGGGACTTGAACTTGACCTCTGTTAATTAGAAGGAGAGGCAGTACACAATACACTGATGTTGTATCAGATTTCCCTTTAGTGGCTTGCCCGCTAACTAGAACAGTTGACCTATATGCATCTACAGGAGTTTCCTTACATTTAAATAAGAGAAGCCTATTATTTTGGGTGATGACATTTCCAGGTTTAATCCTAGAGCTGGCGGAAAACCGATACAATTCATGTGTGTGTGTTGAGATTTTGCATAGAAAAGGTTCCCTGCTTGTTGAAAAATATTTAAATGTTCTGAGTAATTTTATTCAGTCCTTGTTGAGGCCTTACTGTGTGTCAAAGCTTATTACCCTATCGCCTTAGAAATCTGTCATTAGGAACATTGCTTTAATTAAACATCGGGAGAGTGACTATATAAGAGCAAAATATAGGGAACTTGCAAATGGTAAAGAGAATAACAACACAAAACTTGGTTATGGTTCTTATCAAAAGGTTTACTCAATGATCAAACCTAATAAAAGATCATGATGACATAGTCCTCACTAAGGGTGAAGATATTAAAAGCAGACAGAGATTATGGTGCCAATCTATATGCATCACCAGAGCCACCTGTGTTATAGGACAACAGAAAGGAGAGAATGAGCCATGAATCCTGTCAAAGTAATAGTATGTGCTATTTCAAAAATCAAGACTGGGAAGCACCATAGGTAGATGATATGCAATCTAGGTGGTACAGATTACATATGGAAAACATACTCTGATATATGGATGTCTACAGATTGGCCAGGAGACTGGACAAAGGGAATATCTATGTCCTTACCAAAGAAGGGGGGCATGATAGAATGTAGTAACCATTGTACATCTCCTTGATGTTGCATGCAGGCAAAATTCTGCCCTAAAGAATTCGGGATCATATGCAGCAAAGAACAGAAGCAGGAATATCACTACAAAAAGTTGGTTTCTGAAAGGGCCAAAGTTACACATGATCAAATAGTGAATATCCAGTCTCAATGAACCATTACATGCAGAGCATATAATCACCTATTGTTGATGTGTTTAATTGACTACAGGCAGTCCCCGGGTTACGTACAAGATAGGGACTGTAGGTTTGTTCTTAAGTTGAATCTGTATGTAAGTCGGAACTGGCGTCCAGATTCAGCCGCTGCTGAAACTGACCGCCAGTTCTGACTTACATACAAGCAGAGCCAAGCCGCGGAGCGCGTGGGCAGCGGATAACCCTGTCCGCTGCCCGCGTGTTCCACCGCTTTGCTTCCTCTCCGTGGTCTGCTGGAGACCAGGGAGAGGAAGGGCCCCGTTCGTAACTGCGGGGACTGCCTGTATAAGCAGTAATAAGAAGAGATCTTTAAAAATGTTAGGAGCATGAGGAAGACATCAGAAAGTGTTAGTCTGCTTAGTGAGGAAGAAGATCTGATGACATCAAGAAGGTCTGGGAGGTTTAATGCCTATTATGCTTCAGGTTTCATTAAAAAGATTAATGGTGACCAGATATTTAATACAATTATTCACAACACGAGGGAAGAACCCAAGACAAAATAGGAAAATAACAGATTAAAGAATATTGTGATAAATTAGGTAGATTCAAGTTAGTAGTACCTGATGAAATTCATCCTGGTTACATAAGATATTAACTGAAGCAAACTTGCAAACTTGGAACCATTAGTAATTATCTTCGAGAACCCTGGAGGCCCCAGAGGACTGAAGAAGACCTGACTTTTAAAAAGAGAATAAAGAATATGTGGGAAATTACAGATCAGTCATCCTAACTTCAATACATGGAAAGGTACCAGAACAATTTATTGAACAGTCATTTTGCAAGTGCCTAGAGGATAACAGAGTAATGAGGAACAGCCAGCATGGATTTGTGAAGAACAAATCATGCAAACTGAGCTTAAGTTTCTTCTTTGACAGGGTTACTGGCCTTGTGAATAGAAAGGAAGAAGCAGACCCGTTAGCCCCAGTCTACAGTAGGGAATTCTTTCAAAATAACCCCCCTCTTCTGAGGCTTTGCTCTGGCAAAGCCTCAGAAGCGCGGGAACCCGCCCGGTGCCCCTGGTCTGCTGGAGACGGTCTCCAGCAGACCAGGGGCACCGGAGCAGCTTACAAACGGGGCTTTCTCTCCCCGGAGCTCGCAGGTAGCAATACGCTACCTCGACCTCCGGGGCGAGAAAGCCCTGTTCGTAAGTGTGGATCCGACATAAGTCGGATCTGCGTAAGTCGGGGACTGCCTGTACTCTAAAGTATTTGATACTGTCTAATAGGACTGTATCTTTGGAGCATACTGGCAGACAAAGCATGTAATTGAACTTACTACATGTCTCTACAACCAACAGCAGCACACAGTGCAGCCAACAGTAGGCAACAGTGAGTGTCCTTTTTACTAGTCAAGGTGTGAGACAAGTGTGTATTCAACCTCCACGCTTCTAACATATAGGGATATAAAATATATGAGATGAGCCATGGGAGGTTTTGACAAAGTGAAAGCAGCTAGAATTTCCATTGGTGGACATCTCTTAACCTAACCCCTAGTTTGTTGATGGTGTGCCACTTCTTGCTACAACCACCAGTGTAATGAACGTTGGAGTCTATGAAAATAGCTTATGTGGCATATGGACTATTCCTGTATGTGATGAAAATAAAGCATTTGTACCATGACATCAACAAAAATGAGAGGCAAGCAGGCATTAGGGCTAACAGATACATTTTAGAGGCAATAGATGGATTTTATTTTCTGGGATCATTTCTCTCCAACCAAGGATGCTGTTCTAAGGAAATTCGTGGAAGACTTTGGTAGCTCACTCAGTTATGGTCTTCCTTGAGCATCTGGAAAAACCATGGCATCTCAGAATGTATGAAGGCGTGACTGGTGAAAAGTCTATTTTTCCCATGGGCAATTTATAGATATGAATCTTGAGAAGTTAATGCTGCTGACAAGAACAAAACTTTTGAAATGTGGAGCTGTTGAAGAATCTCTTGCACATCCGGCAGCTAGGCTTCCTTCCTTCCTCCCTTCCTCCCTCCTTTAAAAATATTGTTGAAGAGAAGCAGACCCTGGTGTCAGAAATCACAGTAGTAAATTTATGCACTTTGGTCATATTAGATACAGAGATGGAAGGAGAGAGATAATCATAGAAGAAGGTAACCACCTAAGAGAGGGATGGATATTGTCTGGCACATCGCTGGAAGGTTAGCTTGCTGAGTGCTGAACTTTAGCAATGGATTGCGAAGTCTTCCAAAAATCCTGCTATGATATCACCATTATTCAAACATGAATAAACTAAGTAAATCTGTTTAACAGAATACACTCATTGCACCATGATGAAATTATTTTGATCACAATATAGTGACATCTCTGGCTAAACTCCCTTTGACTTTAGTGGGATTAGGAACAGACCCATACAGTGATTCTGCTCATAGTATTTGTCATGGTTCCTTCCCCACTCTGGCACAATAAATGCAGAAGTGGGGACCAGCAAAAGTCCCCCAAAACCTTATCTACCAGGCTTTGATATAAAACTTCCCCCAAAATCTTAACCTAGATTTTGGGACTAAAACGCCGCTCCCACCACCCAAATACTAATAAAGCAACCAGGGAGAGACTACTTGGGAAATCTCACCCCTAACGTACAAATCAGGACACAAAAATTAACTAATACCAGGTTAATAAAAAGAAGAGAGAGAGAACTTTTATTATCATCACAATATTCCTGTTGCAAGCATAATGACTAGATGGAACAGTAACAAAATAATATACTCATGGAAGAGAAATTTACTATGGGCCAGGAACTTAGTTACAAAGGAGAGCAAAACTCATTTTTAAATGCACAGACCAGATCCCATTTCCCAAACCATAAAACAATAACATCTAAACTTTATCTAAACTTTATCCTACTTACAGTCTGTGAAGAGTATTTTCTTAGAGGGAGACATCCTGTCCCCTTCAATAGCTGGAGAGAAACTACCCAGGGACAAAGAAGGGAAAAACCCCAAAATTCCTTTGTCCCAGTTTGAAATTACTACCTACATTTCTATTGGCTGCCTGCCACCCGATTTAGGTAAGGGGCAAGTCCCCAAGATGCTGGCTAACCCTCATGATCATGACAGTATTGCATACTGTAATCAATTGAGATTTTACCAGTGATTCTCTAGTTTAACAAAACATGAAACAGGCAGCATTTAGCACATTGAGATGTCTGACAGAAGTAGATTTGTTAATAGCATCATTGTACTCTTCAGCATCATTTTTCTTAATATCTAAGTCTATTATTGTTTTGGCATTATGGCAGTTCTGTCATTTGAGATAATAGAGCTGAAATATATAAACTTTACCATATGTTCTCCCCAGAATAAGAGATTCATATCGTGCTTTTGATCTGAAGACAAATACTGGGAAGATTTGGAGTGTCACATCAACATTATCAGATGAGATCCTTTGTAAATCAAAATTAAACGTTAGCATTTTGACAAACTCTTCATCGCCTCCACTGCATCTTACACCGTATGGTAAGTGTGTTGGTTTTTTTAGCCTTTTAAAAATCAGTTCTGCTAACATGCATGCTTGTTTTTGTGTGGTTCCTTGAGGGTTTTTATTTATTTATTTATTTAAATATTGAAAGGACCCAATTATTGTTTCCAGAGGAAATATAGAAGAAAATGTCATTTTGCATAAAAAACAATTGGCATTTATGGGCCTGATCTAAATGTAAGTAGCTTAAAGATTTTTTTGGTCCATATTCACTGATATAATCTGGCTTCTTTGCTACTTTAGTTTAATGGGTTAGTTAAGCCATTAAATACAGCTGTGTTATATCACAAAGGTACTACAAAGCAGCCAGCACATAATAAGAATCTGGCCACTTTTATTTTTAAGGCCTTCAGTTTGACAGTGAGCATTTAATTTTTGTGCCTGTTCTCCAGGAGGTCACTAAAACACAAATGGTTTTAACACTTTAAAATCAACCTTTAAAATAAAGATTTTAACACATTTTAGCAGTAAAGAAATAGCATGAACGAGGAATTAAAATGAAAATCAACCTCTCCTTTAGTGATTTGTATTGTTAGCTGTGGGCATTCAGATTGTCACAGAAATTAGGAAGGATTTATTTCCCCTGTGTGCTGCATTGCACAATTGACTAGATATATTGTGGGATCTCTGCCTTCATTCTGAAGACTCAGATACTGGCCATTGCTAGAGGGAGCATAGCAGACTTGAGAAACCTATCATCTGGTCTAGCAGGGCAAATCGTTTACATAAAGGCAAAATTAGATACACTCTGTATTGTGATTTGCTTCCTGGAATTCACAATCCAACTACACATACATGTTTTCTGATTATGGAATAGAACCTCAAAAATGTGGGGGGGGAAAAAGAAAATCTCTGTTATGGAAAGTGGCCTAAAATTTTGGAGAAGGGTTATGGAGGGATGTAATTAATAGAATATATTTATTGTGGCCTAATTGCACTAATCTTCGTATGATTGCTGTGCCCAGCTACTGTAGGCAGCAGCTATAAGAGGCAAAGAAAGGCAATGCCTTCCCTCTGTCTTAGTGCGGAACCTCTTACCTCTTCCTATTCCTATTCTAAACATTCCCACAGGCTGTTGCAGCCTAGTGAGTCTTTCTTGGTGTGGGGGGAGGGGCGGAATTTAGTAGCTTAAAAGTGAAAAGCTATCCAGCTTGCCAAACCTATTAGCTTAACACTGAATATGTGAAAGATTAAGTGGTAATGAAGCCGTTTAACAGGAATTTGCCAACTCCGGGAGATATACTGTCAGTTTCTGAATTTACTTACAAAAACAATTGTGCATTGCTATTATATGTCTACAGGACCTTAGCTTAAATTTGCTTTAAATATTTTATCAGTTTGTTGCTGAAGATTGTAAAATCAAACCTCTAAAAAAAATCCTTGCATAGATTTTTAGATTCACATCTGAGTATTGAGCTTCAGTCCTACAATTGCTTGGATCTTTAGACACAAATTCTATATAAATTCTTCAAAACACCACACTTATTTAAAATACACATTTTAATTTTAATTACTGTAGTACAAAAACTTGCTTCCAAAGTCTTCCTGTCCATCCTCATTGTAATATTTCTCCCTTCACCCACCCCCTGCTGAAAAGAGCCCTTAAAGGGACAATGCCCTTTTTCTTCCACATAGCTGGACAAATGCATTTCCCTTTCTTTAATTCTGACTATTTGATGAAGTAGTTTTAAGAAACCCTTCCACCAAAATTAGTACCTTACTAAGATGTAAAATCCTTTTTTATGCCTAAAATCTTTGGAAACCTATTTAAACATAAACATATGGTGACATTTCATAAACATGTCTATTAGTATGGAAATCACACACAATATATTAATGTTCCATTTTTCTAAAAGCAGTGAGCTTTGTTATTAACACATTAAACTGCTCTGACCGATTAATTTGAAATAATAATAGTAATCTGGAATGATAAATTTATGAAGGTTTGAGTACTTTTAAAATATAAAATCATCTTAGAAATGCTGATTAAGAAAATGTTTTTTAAAAAAGGATCGTATCATGTATTCCATAATATATAATGTTGTATTCAGCTAGACAACTGACTTGCCCTTACCACAAAGTTTTGCAAATAAATTTCTGAAAAACTTCAGTGTGTACAAAAAACCCCGTGACTGACATTTTTTTAATTACAAAATGTAAGTGCTTTTAAATAGATACTTTCTGCATGCTCAGTTTTCACAGTCTGGCATTCAGTAGAAAACATGCTCCATTTTCTTTAGAAAGATGTCGTAGAAGAGTGTTTAAATGTAATTTGCCTGTTGTAGAAGAGTGTTTAAATGTAATTTGCCACATTTGGGTTCAAGGATTTGGCTGGAAGGGGATGGTCAGGGAGGGATAGGGAAGAAAAGAGGGAGACAGTGGGGAGGTGACATTGCTTGCGGTGGAGCAGAGGTGGAATATGGGTGGAGCCACAGAGTGGGAATTTTGCCTTCCCAAGCAGCAGCTTCACCCACCTCCATGCAAGCTACTACTATGTAGGGCCGGATTAAGACCTTTAGAGGCCCTCAGCACTGAAAAGATTATGGTGCCCCCCATATGTAATTCAAAATAAAAACAATATTATACCGTAAAATCTCTTTTGTGTGTGTGTCTGCTTTGCTGGTGCCCTAAGCACGTGCTTAGTATGCCTGTTGGGTAATCCAGCCCTGCTACTATGTTAAATGAATTGGATGTGTCTAGTGTCAAATAAATCTCTGGCATAGCCTCGTGTCTTGTGCAGAACCAGAGCCTTCATCATATACATGTAAGGAAATTACACACAATTTCAATTTTGAGATTATAGATTTCAGGGGAAATAGCTCGCTTTTTGGTTCTGCCATCTCTGATTCAGAATTGATAAATTTATAATTCTAGATTCATTACAGACTCTCCTGCTTCTTTCAAAATGGGTGAATTCAGTGAGGTAAAAGTATTGTATGAATGACAACCCAGTCCTCAGAGCATGTGAATCTAGAAAGGGGGAAAAAAAGTCTCATTCTGATTCCCCTAGATGGAGCTATACTGCAACAGAAGTTAGCGATCACATCATGACTCCCATTTTCTCTTTTCAACACTAATCTAGCAACTCTCTACCAAGCTGCTATTAATTTTTCTTCTTATCTTTGTTTACAGCTAGCTGCATTATCCGCAACTTAATTGTAGAGATTCTCCATTGCACAAATCAATATCCAGCCCAGGAAGAGTATTTTCTAAGCATTTATGGGTCTGATGAATTTTTACAAAAGTAAGTCTCACATTAAGAAATGGTATTGATTATGTATTACATCATACAATCTGTGCACCTGAATACTGATATACTACATCTGTAAACAAAGCACATCCAAAGGGAGAGATGCAAAAGCAATGGTCGTGTGCCATACATCTTGGATCCCATCTGCCTCAGCCGTGGAAGGTGTCTGAACCATGGAGTTTGGTTCATTCCTATATCAAATTGCGCTTACACTGTGGGGTAATGAGAAGACAATATGGTCTAGAGAAATAAGCATGGAACAAGGAGCTAGGTACTCCAGAACATCAATCTCAGCTCTTCTATCTGCTTCCTGCACAGCCTTGTACAAGTTATTTCAACTCTCTGGCTGCCTCAATTTCTTCATCAGCATCTTTTTTTTTCTAATCCTGAGGTTGTATTTGGCTGAGTTGTCTCAATTTCTCTATCCAGAAATGGGGATAATGTTATCAACTTCTTATTGAAGGACATTATGAAGAGGAGTAAAGGAAAGTGGTGGAGGGGAAGCATATTAGCCCTAGATTGAGTAAGTCTCTGTTGCCAGGGTAAATTTAGGAAAGGCTAGTTCAGAACCAATGGAACCTGCCAGACTCAATGAGGCCAATTTAAGGACCTGAAGTCAATTAGAGGGTTTCTAGAGTCAAGTAAGTCAGACAGTTCAGAATATCTGGGGCCAGTTAAAAACTAGCTGAGCCTGGTTAAAAAGACCTCCTCTTCAGGTCAGTGTGTGAAGAAGGTGACTCTCTAGGACCAGACATAGTTTTGGCTTACAGGATAAACAAGACCATTCACAGGTCATTAGTTTGATCATGAGCCATTAAGTTTCCAGAGCATCAGTAATGGCTCTCATTAGCACATTTAGAACTATAAACAGATCCACACTTCATATTTTAATTTCACATACAAGAATGGTACATGCACAAAAATAGGATATATACATTCAGCAAATTATAACATTAAAATTGATATGTTACACAAGGTATTTTGTCTAAAATGTTCTCAAATTATGCATATTCATAAGCCAATTTTCCTAAAGCACAGGAGGTCACAACAGATTTGTTAAAATCTAAAGTTGAGGATCATGTTTTCAAAGTAAGACTTTAAAACAGATTGATGTTTTATTGAGGGAATGTTTACAAACAAACAAAAAACAGTACAAACAGCAGAGTTTGCATTTTGATACAAGCATGGGTGAATGAATAGATACATCCAGGAGCCAGTTTGGGTCTAGGGTGGGGGGGGGCAGCACCCGGGAGCCTGGTTCCCTGGCCTGTGGCGGAGCGTTAGGCGTGGCCCGCAAGTGGAGTCCGCCAGTGGGGTGCCCTCATCCTCTGGAACATTGTTCAAGGCCCTTCGGTGAGGAGTGCATAGAATAGATGGATTCCATAGGACAGAGGGGTAGGGGGGGAGGGGGTTTGGAGCGTGGCTTATAAGAAGCCCATAGCGAATAATGGGGAGTCTGTGGGGCCCCGGATGTGGTGGGGTGGTGAGGGGTTGGCTAGTGGATGGGGGGTTTGGTGGGGATGCTCATTCTGTCACTGGTCCAGTAGTTTAGGTGGGTTGAGAACTAGATTTGGGGGGGTGAACGTCTCACCGTTTGCCTGGATTTAGCATTGCTGCTGAGGCGGTATGGGCGGGAATGAATGTAGGGACCCTTGGTCGGGAGGAGATTCAGGGTCGCGGGGTCTGTCTTGTGTCAGGGATTTTGTGGGAGCAGGGGGGTAATGGTTGAGCGAGTCTGGGAGTAGTATTTATTAAGGGGACCGCACGGTGTGGGAGGGCTAGTGTTTCTTGGTTGCTACTTGGAGCTTTAGGTGGTTGTTGTTCTTTAGGTCTATGTCTTGGGGAGTGGGAGGGAGGGGGAACACAAAACATCCATACACATACACCTACATGCATGCACCCACTCACACAAACTCATACCCATAAATATATAAGATGGAGCAGGATCAAAGCAAAGCACGGTAAAGTAAAATAGGGTTGATAGAAGTAGGGAAGCCAATGATTAAGCTTAAAGGGGGGGGCACTCATCCATTCGCACAAACAACTACTGTTCTGTTCCCCGGGAGTTATCCACGGATTTTGTTCCGTTCTCTATGCTAAGTGTATGTAAAGTTATGTATGGCAGATCTTCAGATACTAGAATACTGCTTGAAGCTAGATGTGGCATTACAACATGGAAATTCAAAAGATTCATAATACGTTAGATTTGTGCAGTGAACTGAAGGCTATTTTATGATCACTTCCAAGATGTTTTGCACCTCAAAATGTACAGAAGTTTATTTCTGAACACACACTCAGACAGCTTTCCCACATCTTCATTGGTCTTTGAATTCTCTTGACTCTTCGGCTCTTCAAAATTTTAACTTTGAAAAGCTATGCTATCCAACTAGCAACAGAAACTGGAAGGCTGTGTCTACACTGGCCACAATTTCCGGAAAAGCCATGCAAATCAGGTAAGTCAGGATAGGAAAATCCGCGGGGGATTTAAATATCCCCCGCGGATTTAAATAAACATGTCCGCCGCTTTTTTTCCGGCTTGG